TGGCCTTGTTAGATAAAACAAAAAAGAACTTGGTGTTGAAAATGGAACTTAGCTTGTCAGTAAAAATGGATGAATTGATGATGAAGATGAAGAAAACCTTAGACTATTCTTGTTTGAATAAAATTTTGGACATGGATTGGTATTTATAAACAGAGGTTAGGAAGACGAAATTTATTTTGCTGAGGCTTTTCTTGAATCAAGAAATTTCCAGCTCATGCTACTACACTACACTCACGTCACTGCTCCTGTCAGAAAGTGTCAATTCTACCTAGGAAAGTTCGAAGACGTTACCTGAATCTTTTGATCCATATAGACAACTCGTGTTGCAAGAGAATTTTTGCAGAGCTATCTTAATTTTGAATAATTATAGTCAAAGTACAGGTGTTCTGGTTCTAGATTTCACACCAAGGCATCCACGCGCACTCCTTTAAGAACAAGCAGCCCAGATATGCTCTAAGTTCAACTTTGTGGGACTCCTTCATAACATGCTCTCTTACGACAGGATTTTTTTTTTTTTTTAGCTCAGGTATTATTCAAGAAGAAAAGTCTTGGTCTGTAGATAGGACAGCGCCATTTCAGGAGGATATTCGGATATTCCTCCGTATACACCGGCAACATTTTGCATTTAAATTTAAATTTAATTGATAAATAAATTAAATTTACATATTAAAAAAGATATTTTATTATTGAATTTAATTAATTTTATTTTCGATATTATTATCATCACATTTATTTTATTCTAATTCTTTTCTACTATTATCACCACAAATAACCTAAAAAAATCAAATCCAAATACCTCTCTCTAAAGCTTTATTTTCTCAAGACTACGCAAGCCATAAAATGAAGGACAGACAATAAAACCTAATATGGGAAGAGGAGTGTTTTGGTGATGTTGCAGTTGAGGTTTGAATGGTGATGCATATTTACTCTGGACAAAGGGAGAGTACTGATGAAAAAAGAGGTGGATAAATGAATATTTTAAAAAAGTCAGTTTTAACATTATTTTTTATAGAGTAATAAATTAGAGAAGATTGCCTCTAATTAACTTTTGTTTTATTTTTAAATATTGATTTTCATTTAAAATATAATTCTTGACTCTTAGAATGGTTTTCTTCAAACATTTGAATTCAATTCAAAGATTCTAAACATGATCTCTGAGACATGGGTGCTTCATATGAAATTAAAAAAGGAAGGGGAAGTTCCCTTCAATCCCGAGCAGTTGAACCCACCAAATTCAGTGGACGACCCCCTGTTTAGTATTTCCAGTTGCATGGTTATTTTCACTATTATTTTTTTCGTACTTTGAATCCTTGAAAGTTTCAGGAGATAGAAATGCTTTTGAAGAAAAGAATTTTAATGAAGACGCCATTTGATAGTAGAATGGACTTTCATGTTGGTCATTATTTGAGAAGTCCAATAAATTCCATATTTTAGCATATAGGTGCATATCAATATGATTCAAGCTGGCGTTGCATGCTATAAATTTGTCGTTCAATATTGTCGGCTGACAATCCTATTGTCGTGGTTTTACCCTTTTTTTTAAGGTACTTTTTCTTTTTTACATTTAAAATAAAATGTGTTTTGCTTTTGCTTTTAATACATTCTTTGACTTGGGGAAGAAATCAATTCATGCACTATATAAAATGCATGAGGTGCTAACGTGCATAGACACACTCGTCTAGAAGAAAATGTTCCATAAGACAGGAGTAATTAAATGCTGCTAAGTATGAAGATAACTGACAGCTTCAAAATTCAATAAGTTTAGAAATAATACTGTATTGCATTGTTATTTAATTTATTCTTTTTTAGATGTTAGACTTGAAATGAAAGGCTGAGATGAATAGGTGATTTTTAATAATCTAAGATAATTAATAGTTAATATTAGTAAAAAGTTCTCATTGATTGGTGTGGAGATTGTTAAATACTTTACTCAGTAATTTTATAAAATAATAATAATAATATTTTAGAAAAATAGATTATAAAAATATATAAATTTAAAATATTAAAAATATAGAGATGATAAACTTGAAACTTGAAATGTTTGTGGGGGTATTTATAGCTTATAAATCTTGTTATTTATGGAAATAACATATTGAAGTATAATTTTATTTTGTGATATTTGAAGTTATATCCCACTAAAAATAATATTATTAAATTAGTATAAAATAATAAGATATCTACACACGATCTAAAAAAAATTCTAAAAAAGATTAGGTTTGAGCTAGGTGGGCTTATTTCACGTGTTCAAGTCAGTAAGGATGCTATCATATAGGACCAGCAAACAAGCTGTCCCGAATACCCAAAAAAATAATTTTGAGCGGTGGATTAGTTAGCCCAGCACCCCAATTAATTGGATCCGAATTTAATGCATGGATCCAATAATAAATGCTGGCATGCCCCAGCAGGATTAGTTAGACCAACTTGGTTCAAATGACGAAGTTTTTTTTTTTATTTCTTTACTATGATTATTTTATCATGATGTATGTGACTTATTTCAATTGTTTATAGATTTAGTTATAAATTTAAAATTAATTATTGAGCTCAATTTCATTAATTTTAAGTGGTGGAATAAACAAATGAATCTAGAAATAAACATAATTAAATAATTTTTTTAGATTAGAAACGAGTGGTAGCCTCGCTACAAGATTATAATGGAATGGTTATAATTTTTCTAACTAACCTTCTTACCTAAGAACTCTTAGAATTATAGTTTAAATTTTTATTAGTTTTCACTTTTTCATGGTCGCAACAAAAAGTATGCATCTTATTGAGTTTGCTGTCGTAGGCCCATTACAAGAGTATGGTTGTAACAGTGATAATAATAATGATTTTTTAAAATAATTTTTATTTAAAAATATATTAAAATAATATTTTTTTAATTTTTAAAAATTATTATTGAAATTAAAAAGTAAAATCATTAAAAAAATAACAAAAAAATAATTCAAATTTCCTACAAACGCCATTTAGAATACAATTACAACCAAATTTCCTAAATGGTTACAAAATTGCAAAATTGGTTGCCAACAGTGCAATTATGTTATTTTCAAATAACCCCATTGTATAAATCATGAGCGCCACCAATCATGGTAAAATCGAAATTTATGTTATATAGCAGCAAATGAAATTGCTGCCACAACAATGTTCACGATAAAATAGATTAAAACTACTGCAAAAACAGATACAAATGAAATGTGCTTTTAAAATATGAATCTAACCCTGGTGACAGAAGCTCAGTTCCTCGATAAGAGAATCCAAATCAGAGTAGGAGGAACCCCCTACTTCAATTGCCTTCCTTGCCATCTTCCCAAATGCCTTAACTTTGCCCCTCATTTCCTCTGCTTCTTCGCCCTCCATGAGTCGACTCACTGCCTCTTCTAAAGCTTTACTCTTAATGCTATCCCCGCCCAATAAAGCTTGTTCTTGAACACCAATCCTGATACCTATTTTCAATATCTGTGTCACCAGCTTTTCATTGTAGAATTGCTCTGCAGACAGTGGACATGTGGCCATTGGAACCCCAGCGGTAATGCCTTCAAGAGTCGAGTTCCATCCACAATGAGTCACAAATCCTCCTATTGCTTCATGGTCAAGAATCAACACTTGCGGTGCCCACCCTCTTATGATTAGCCCCTTCCCTTCCATTCTCTTCTCAAATCTTACAGGTAACCAAGCTTCCTCTTCTTCACTGTTTATGGTATTCTTAACAACCCAGATAAATTGCTGACCAGAAGCTTCAAGGCCTTTTGCTATCTCTTTTAGTTGAGAAGCACTGAAGCTTACCATACTTCCAAAACATATGTAAACAACTGAATCGGGTTTTTTGGTTTCAAGCCAGCTCAAACACTCATTTTCATTAATAGAAGCTTCTCTTCCCCTCTCTGCTTTGTCATCTATGTTTCTGTTGCAAAGAGAAACTGGTCCTACATGCCATGCTTTTCTTCCAAAAGCTTTTCTGTAATGATCAGCATAAACCGGCTCAAGTTCGTAGAAACTGTTGACAACCACCCCGTAACTTTTCGAATCTCCCTCTTTAACCTTCTTGTACATCTTGTTGAAGTCGTCGGATTCATCATCGTGTCTTTCAGGATATGGCAGTTCATTTCTTGTCAACTTGATATCATCAGGAAGGTTAGGCATAAAAAAGGGTTCACAATCTGATGAAACTTTCTTGTGTGGCTCGTATAGTCTCAGACTTTGTCCAACGCATAAAGAAAAAAAGCTAGTTCCATGAAACACTAACCTTGGAATTCCAAATTTAGCTGCAGCATCAGTAGTCCAAGGAAAGAACATATCTGCAATAAGGCAATCAGGATGGATTTCCTCCAGTAGCCTTTCAAGGGGTTCTTGGAGAAAGGTGGTTGCCGCGAAAAATTTCTTGAGCATATCCCAACCCATAGCCTGAGAAATAATCAAGTCTGCATTTTCACATCCTTCTGGTAATCCAGTCTCAACAGTGGAGAATTCGATGGTTCGTATATTAATTTCAAATCCCAAATTTTTTGTTCTTTGGACTGTTTTGGAGAAGAGAGGCACATTTAGAGGGGTGGTGACTATGGTAGTCTTTAGGCCCCGGGAAGCAAATAGCTTGGCCATGTCCACCAGTGGTATCATGTGACCATGAGCCATGAAAGGAAAGAAAAGAGCATGTAGCTGGTTAACTTCACTGCACATGTTGCCTTATCACCAAAGGAAGCTTTTGTACAGTAGAATTCAATGGTTGAGTTACAAGATAAACAAGAATCGGTGATGAAGATAGACGAGAAGAGGAAGGAAGGGTTGGGCTACCTTTTTTTGGCTTGCCTTCTATGACTAGCATGCCAATTTTTTGGCAAGAACGAGATATTTTTGGTTCTTTCTGATGATCACGGGCCCACCAGTACATGCCCTGGACACCATTTTCTCTTTCATGGGTTGAAGGAAAGAAAATTGTGAGTACTGTGGATAATGTGAAATTTATCCAGGCCATTCAAAAGAAGCTAGAACGGAAGGGAGATCTACTGCGAATCTATACATTTATCACCATTTACCATTACAGTATCATTGTTTTTTTTTGTTTTTTTCAAAAAATCAATAAACTTGTCTTGGGAGTAATTCGATCCTTATGTAAAGTACATTGATGATTATAA